ATTAACATTAGAAGTGCTAAACAGAAATATTAGAGAAGATAAAGATAAAAAAGGGAATGAAGATCCAAAAGGAAGAATACAAATTGCAAGCATTTGCTGATGACCTGGTTTTTATTCTTGAAGATCCATTAGAATCAACAACTAGATTGATTGACAAGATAGGAGAATATGGAAAAGTAGCTGGTTTGAAAATAAAGACTAAATGAAGTTTTTGACAAAAAATATGTTAATAAAACAAAAAGAAGAATTGGTGGAAGTATCGAAGATGAAGGTCACAAATAAGTTTAAGCACTTGGGGATATATCTGACAGCAAAATGTAGTTCACTTAAAGAGAATAACTATAATAAACTCAAGCAACAGATAGTGACATATTTGGCAAAGTGGGAAAATTTACAACTGTCATTGATAGGGAGAATATCAATGATTAAGATGAATATATAGCCTAGAATTCTGTACTTGTTCCAGAGAATTCCAATCAGATTGGGGAAAGATTATTTTGAAGATTTGAATAAAATAGTGATGAAATACATTTGGCAGGGTAAAAAAACGAGGATAAAACTAAAGTTGTTGCAAAATGCTAGAATGCGAGGAGGTTTTGGCTTGCCTAATTGGGAACTATATTATCAAGCGACAAGTTTGATGTGGATCAAGGAATGGATAATGTTAAAAAATGTTAGATTATTGACTTTAGAAGGACATGATTTGTTATTGGGTTGGCATGGCTTTTTATGGTACAAAGAAACATAAACACAGGGGTATTTTAGAAGACATTTTATACGAGATACTTTGCTATTAAACTGGGAAAATGTAAAAAGATAACATTATTTAAAAATTCCAGTCTGGTTATCATCTATTGAAGCTTTCTCATATTTGATAATATTTAGAAAGGAACATAAAATGACAATGTCAACTGCATATAAAGAAAATTTGTATAAGATGTTTTAGAGGTGGCATTTACCCCCAACGAGAATAGTCAGAATGTTCAAGAATAAATTTGAAAAATATTGGAAATGTCATCAGATACCGGGCTCATATTACCATATGTGGTGGACGTGTGTAGAAACTAAGAGATACTGGAGTAAAATCCACACATGGGTGGAAAAAATGACACAAAAACACATAGATTTTAAACCAGAGATTTTTTTATTGGGGATTGTACCTGAAATATACAATAGAGAATTGAGATATTTGATTGTGCATGTATTAACAGCGGCTAGAATTCTGTTTGCTAAAAATTGGAAAAATGAGAAAATCTCAATGCAAGAAGAAGTTATTGAGAAAATAATGGAATGTGCAGAAATGAGTAAATTGATATTTGAAATTAAAGAACAAGAAGATAAACAATACTATAAGATATGGGACTTATTTTATCAATGGTTAGATAAAAAGATATGGAAATGAAATATTTCTAATAGAGATATTTCTAATACAAGTAATGTAGAATTATATAAAATATAATATAAAGATGTACTATTATTGGAATGATGTAAGAGGATAAAATGAATGGTATAATACAAATTAACTCAAACTTTGAATAGGGTGAAGATGCACAAAAGACTTGTAACCAACTGACACACTGTTTGTATTTGTAATTGAAGATGGTTTTTTATTTGTTTTTTTAATATTTGTTTTAAAAAAAAAATTTCAAAAAAAAAAAAAGATAAATAATAAAGCTCAAATTCAAAAGCCTGGAGAGGGCATAAAACTCAGTCACTCACAGCATCTCTTCCCTTTTTTTTCTTCACCCAACATCATCAAGGCATATGATCCTGTCCACCATTAATACCACCTTTCCAAGCAACTTCCTTTAATCCTGTGTCTTTCCCCCCACCTTGGAACTGAACCCAGAAGGATATTTCTTCCAACAGTAGTTTGTGCCACTTTTAATGATAAAAGTCAGATGGTAAATCTAAGGGTCTTTCCACACTGCTGAGAGATGTTTCAAACGAAAACTGCATGAATTTTGCTAGATCCCTTGATGTTTTGTCCTGTTGTCTTGTATGCTGCCTTTGAAACCAGGGAGCTCTGAATTATCTGTGGGTGATGTTCACTGGAGGTCCTCATAGAGCACACCCTTCTGGTCACATTAGAACTCTGTGGGTCACCCATCCACTCAGTCAATTAGTCAATCAGAATAGAGCTGGAAAGTCTTCTAGTCCAACCACCTGCTCAAGCAGGAGACCCTAGTCTATCAAACACAAGGCTCGAGGGCTGGATCTGGCCTGCAGGCTGCTTAGATCTGGCCTATGTGGTCGCCTTTGAAATAGCAAAGGACCAGCCCGCAGTGCCTCTGCCAGTGAAAATGGAGTTAAAGAGGGCCGGGCATGGCCCTCCCGAGCTCTGTTTTGGCAAGCAGAGGGTTGCAGGAGGCTTCCCAGCCAAAAATAGAGCTTGCGAGGGCCATGCATGCCCCCTCCAAGCTCTGTTTAAGCTGGCAGAGGGTTGCAAGAGGCCATCCGAGATGAAAACGGGGCTCAGGAGCCCATTTTTGCTGGCAGAGCATTCAGGCCACTGCAGGTTCCCCTGACACAAGTGACGTCATGCTGCCCATTCCCATCTTGGCCATGCCTCCTCCCGAAGTCAGACACAACCTGGATGTGGCCCTCAATGAAATCGAGTGACACCGCAGCCCTAGTCCAACCCCCTGCTCAAGCAGCAGACCCCAGACCTTTTTACACAAGTGACTGTCCAGTCTCTTCTTATTAAACCCCAGTGATGAAGCACCCACAACTTCTGAAGGCAAGCTGTTCCAATGATTAATTGTCCTCAAAGCCTTAATTCCAGGTTGCTTCTCTCCTTGATTAGCTTCCATCCATTGCTTCTTGTCTTGCCTTCTGGTGCTTTGGAAAATAAATTAATTTCCTCCTCTTTATGGCAGCCTCACAAATACTAGAATACTGCTATGCACTCATGGAATATCTTTTTAAACTGACAAACATATTAATTTCTCATAGATTATTACTACTTATTTGATTGTTTCATATGTTGGGCTTGAAATATTGTTATATCCCCCCTCAACAATTGTTTAATATTGGTATATTATTTCATTGTCTTTATTCATATAATTGATTTCAAATAATTCTATATAAACTCATTAATTGGCTGGATTTCTTTCAGACATTTGAAATGCAGAAGTCAGTTTACTAACCTCCTTTAAAAAAAAAAACCCAAATCAATTGACATTTTGCCAAGCTACAGTTCAAAATAGGAAATAATATTATGACATACTTTCTTCTGTGTTGTACACTAATTGTTTTGTTAGTTGTGAAGTCATGTCTGACCCATCGTGACCTCATGAACAATGTTTCTCCAGGCCTTCCTGTCCTCTACCATCCTCTGGAGTCCAGTTAAGCTCAAGCCTACTGCTTCAGTGATTTGATCCAACCACCTCATTCTCTGTCGTCTCTTTCTTCTTCTTCACCCAGCATTAGTCTTTCCTCCAGTGAGTCCTTCCTTCTCAATAGGTGGCCAAAGTATTTGAGTTTCATCTTCAGGATCTGGCCTTCTAAAGAGCAGTCAGGGCTGATCTCCTCTAGGACAGTGGTCACCAACTGGACCACTGGTGGACCACAAGAAAATTTTGGTGGTCCTCAGAAAAATTATTTGCAGTTTTTATATTGCACTAAATCAGGGGGTCCCCAAATTACGGCCACTGGGTCGGATATGTGCAATGAATGTTTGCGTTGCTGCAGAGACAACTGGGGTCTCTTCTGGGATCATCTTGTGTGGGTCAGAGGAGGGAAGAAATTCTGACTTGAGGTCTGTTTCAGCCCCCTGGTGCGGGGCTTTGGGCAAAGGCTGGAGGGAAGTGCGGCTGGTAGCGAAGATCCGGAGGGCCTTGTTCCAGTGAGACTGCATCATGGCCTGGAATTGGCTGACCATCTCAGCCTGCTGAGCCTCCAGGTGTTGGCAACTGAAAAGCCTATGCTCATAGTCCTCAGTGAGGTGCTTCTGCTGAACCTCTAGGACTAACCGGTTGATCACCTTGCAGTCCAAGGGACTTGCAGGAGTCTTCTTCCACTACCATAGTTCAAAGGCCTCAGTTCTTTGGTGCTCAGCCTTTTTTATGTACACTATTTTTTATATATACACTAGAGAAAGTATGTAAAAGCTGCTTTCTGGAGGTGCCTTCTACTTATCTTGACCCATTCATTGTTTTTTCATATCTTTCTTTTGAATTTTTTACTTCAGTCTCAAGATTATAAAAAAATGAGGAATTCCTCACTGTGAGAGTTATTAAGAGTTGGAACAGCCTGCCTCCTGGAGCTCCACTGCTCGTTATTTTCAAGGAAAACTTAGACAGCAATTTGTCTGTAGTGGTCTGACCATTCCTCCTCTGTGTAAGGAGTTGGACTTTTTATTCTATGATTCTATGGAAAAAAAAAACCTCTTTTGTATTGGTCACTAAATTTTCAAAGTGTTTAAAAGTCACTGATTCAACCCTCATACATTCTTTGATAAAGTCTTACTTTTCAAATGTCATAATTTTCAAAATTCCCAATGGTCACACCCAGACTTTTTCTACTACCAGAGGCCTGCTGGCCACAGGGCCCGAAGCCAAAGGATAGATAGATAGATAGATAGATAGATAGATAGATAGATAGATAGATAGATAGATAGATAGATAGATAGATAGATAGATACAGTGGTGGACTGCAACTGATTTAACAACTGGTTCTGTGAGCACACATTTTGCATTCGTGTACAGCGCTCAAAATACACCAATATCAAGCTCTATAGCTTACATTCTAGGGAAGCCCCGGTAAGTAAAACAGCTGAGGGGTGGAAATCCACCATGCCACGCAAATCAGCTGGGCTTAGAAACACAGAAATATAGGACAGGATAGGGTGGGGGTGGGTAGGTGGGCAGGGACAACTGATCGCCGGAACCACCGGTTTGCTAGAACTGGTCCAAACCAGAAGCAGCCCATCACTTTATGTAAAGACACATATACTTTGTGAATGAACAATTCTTTCAAATCTTCTAATATTTACTCTCTGACTTTCAATTTATTTGGAGAAATATATACAAGTGCTGCTTTCTAGGCAAATGTGAACAATTTACAACACGGAATTAGTTTCATTTGGCTTTATACCTGTGGAATTTTATAGATGCTCAGGACATTGGAAATATGATCAAAGAGTTCAGAATCCATCTCTTCAAGAATCGCCAGCAGGTTCTTTTGTCTTCCACATCTGTAGTTTGGGATGTTCTCCTGTCCTGTAGACAGCACATCCAGCATGGCCTCATATGTCATTCTTGCACTGAAAAAGTTCTCATAGATGTTGTAGCCCAGGGTGATGTTGGGTAAGAGCCTTGAATTCTGGTTGACTTCATGAACAGCCAACAAGAAGGGCAGAATGTTGTAGAAGGTGCTTTCACTGCAACGTAAGAAATTTCATCATCTTTTTTTGCTCTATAACAACGATTTATGTGATCAACTTAAAAGCAATTGCATTCTTTTTGCCGATGATGTAAAATTATTCAATTCTACAGATAATGCTGTTTTGCAAAGTAATCATGATTATGAGTCTGAATGATCAACTTTCTTTTTTTTTTTTATTGAAAAAGTTTTACAATTACATTTTCTCCCCATTTCCCCCCCCAACCTTAATCCCCTTACCCTCCCTAACCCCCCCTAACCCTCCCCAACCCCCCCTAACCCACCCCTCCCCCCCGGACTTCCACAGAATATAATCCAAATCAAAATCCTCTTTTTATAAAACTTGAACCCCACCAACCCCAATATAATTTTTCATCTTCACAAAATTCAAATATTTCTATCTTTATATAACACTTTCAGTTAAAAGTTATCTGATACTTCCTAGTTTTATATTTGTTCTGCACATAATCTATCCACTTTTTCCACTCCCATTCATAAGTCTCTTGTGAGTGATCTTTTAGAGATCCTGAAATCTTTGCCATCTCTGCAAAACTGGCCATCTTCAAAGTCCATTCCTCAATAGTGGGCACAGCTTCATTTTTCCAATATTGACCTATCAGTAATCTCGCTGCTGTTACCATATACAATATCAACTTTGTTTCACCCAGTGTAAAACCCTTAACTATACCCAATAAAAACAATTGTGGAGAAAACTGAATTTTTTTCTTCAAAACATTCTGCATAACCCACCAAATTTTTATCCAAAAAGCCTTCACTTTCTTACAAGTCCACCAAATATGATAATATGTAGCATCTAAGCAATCACATCTCCAACACTTTGGTTGAACATTAGGGTACATACACGACAATTTCTTAGGATCTAAATGCCATCTATAAAACATTTTATAAAAATTTTCCCTCAAATTCTGCGACTGTGTAAATTTAACATTCTGAACCCAAATTTTTTCCCATGTTTCCAACATCACTGGTTCTGCAAAATTTTGTGCCCACTTAATCATGCAATCTTTAACCAGTTCAGTTTCTGAGTCCCTTTCTAACAAAACATTATAAAGCCTTTTAATATGCATTGGACCTTTCTCTTTTATATGTCTAACCAATTCCTCCTCATGCATCATTATACCAGTTTTTTGGTCCTCTTTCCACCTCAGTTGAAGTTGATTATACTGTAACCAGGTTAGATTAATCCCTTCTTCCAACAGTGTCTCTAATGTCTTCAGTTGCCATCTGCCCGCATCTGTAAAAAGAACTTCTTTATATAAAACCCCCCCGAGTGACATTATATTTGTATTCCACATAATATGACCAAGATCCAGCCATAGCGGTATTTTGTAATCCCATTTGAATCGGTGCTTCTTCCAAACTCTCATCAAGGAGTCTCTAAGTATATGGCTTTTAAATACTTTATCCACTTTGTTTTCATAGAATAAGTAAGCGTGCCAACCAAATTCAAGATCAAAGCTTTCTATATTCAATATTCCAGTCTTCTTCCTTCCAAACCAATCACTCGCTTGAGTCAAGGCTGCTGCTTCATAATATAATTGTAGGTTTGGAAGTTTAAGACCTCCCCTTTCTGGAACATCTTGCATAATTTTCAATTTCACTCTCGGTTTTTTCTCATTCCAGACAAACTTATTCAATCCACTTTGCCATTCTTTCAATTGTTTATCACTTTTAAGCACCGGAATCATTTGAAACAAAAAAAGAAATCTTGGCAAATGTTCATCTTAACTGCTGCTATTCTTCCAAGCAAAGACAGCTGCAGTATTTTCCAAGTCTCCATATCTTTCTGTACATCTTGCCACAACACTTCATAATTATTTTGAAACAATTTCATATTTGATTCTGCAACCTGAACTCCTAGATATTTAACCTTTGGTACAATCTCAAAACCTGCCCTCCTTTCAAGTTCGTATTTTCGATCTTGTGTCATATTTTTAACTATCATCTTAGTCTTTTTCTGGTTGAGTCTAAATCCTGATACTGTACCATAGTCTTTTATAATGTCTTTCATCTGGATTATTGATTCCATCGGCTGTGTTAGGGTAACAACCAGATCATCTGCAAATGCCCTTATTCTGTAGTCCTCTTGCCTTATCACCAAACCTTTCAAGGTACTCGAGTCCCGTATTGTATTTAACAAGACCTCTAGTGTTAAAATAAATAACAATGGGGATAACGGACAACCTTGTCTTGTTCCTTTCTCAATGTTAAAATCTGTTGTCAAACTTCCATTAATAATAATCTGTGTCTTTTGTTCTTGATAAATTGCTGAAACCATCTGTATAAATTGATCCCCAAAGTCCATCTTTTTTAAAGTCTTTAATAGAAAATTCCAGTCCACTCTATCAAAGGCCTTCTCTGCATCCAAGAAAACCAGCACTGCAGGGATCTGTTTGTTCTTCTCAAGATATTCCAGTAAATCTTTAACTTGCCTTACATTGTCCTTCATATATCTACCTTCTATAAATCCCGCTTGATCATCATGAATCACCTCTTGGATAACTGGCATCAATCTGTTGGCTAATACTTTTGCGTATATTTTATAGTCATTATTCAGAAGAGATATTGGTCTAAAATTCTCAGGTTTTTTAGGACCTGATTGCTCTTTTGGTATCAAAGAAATATAAGCTGTTTTCCATGATGGGGGTATTTTACCCCCTTGTTGTATGTTACAAAATAAATCTCTAAGATGTTCAACCATTTCTGCTTGCAAAGTTTTGTAATACACCGCAGTTAAACCATCCGTTCCAGGAGCTTTAGCTGTTTTCAGTTATTTAATTGCTACAATAATCTCCTCAACTGTTATAGGATAATTCATTCTCTCCTTTTGTTGGTTGGTAATTTTTGTAACTCTTTTGTTTTCTAAATGGTCAACTTTTGATTAATAAATGCTCTGTCTTACATATTGGTAAACATAATCAGAATGTCAAGTATGAGATAGGTGGCATTGATCTAGTAGATGACCCTCACCTTGTTAAGAACCTAGGAGTATTTATCTCTGACGATCTATCCTCCAAAGCTCACTGTAACAGCAATGCTAAAAAAGCATTAAATGTTGTAAGGTTAATTTGACGAAGCTTTTATTTCTGGAAACATTGTATTGCTCATTAGACCTTATGAAACTTATGCTAGACCAATCTTAGAGTATTATTCAACTGTTTCGATTCCCCACCATATATCTGACATCAGTACAATTGAGAGGGTTCACAAGTATTTCACAAGAAAAGTCTTGCACTCTTTTGTACACAATAGATTTCCCTATGCTACTAGGCTCTAAATTCTCGGTTTGGATAACTTGGAGCAGTGTCGCTTGCGTTTAAGGCCTAGGTATTGAATACAAAATTATATGTAATAATGTCTTACATGTAAATGACCTTTTCTGTTTTAATCGCAATAATATGTGTGCAAACAACTGCTTTAAACACCATGTAAATTGTCGAAGTCTGGAATGCCCTACCTGATTCAGTTGTCTTAGCTACAAATTTCCACAGTCTCAGTCACAAGTTGAGTTTAATGGAACTTACATTATATTTAAGTGGTCAGTAGAGAGAGTGTGCGTAAGTGCACTAATGTGTCTATCGTCCAGAGGTAAAATTCAGCAGGTTCTGACAGATTCTGGAGAACCGGTAGTGAAAATTTTGAGTAGTTTGGAGAACTGGCAAATACCACCTCTGGCTGGCCCCAAAGTGGGGTGGTAATGGGGATTTTGCAGCATCATTTCCCTGCCTTGCCCACCAAGCCACACCCACCAAGCCACACCCACAGAACTGGTAGTAAAAAAAATTGAATTTCACAACTCCTATCGTCCCTGTCATTGAATTTATATTCTCTTATTTGTGTTCTCATTTTTCTTTGACAAATTTCAATAAAGAAATAAATAAATCTTCAGTTTGGATTTTCATGAAAGCATGTCATATTTACTGTAGCTTTATATCTATATAGTGCAATGCCAAAAAGATAATCAACTTCTCTTTATTCATGTCAGGGATCTGACAGATGCCCTAATTAAATCATGAGCCTTGAGCCAAGCTTCAAAAGAAATCCAGTTAGTTATTAGGAGCTTCATGTAGGCACTTTCCCAAGTGAAGCCAATTCTGACCCCATGTAAATAATGCCCCAACCATGACCTTGTTTTCCTCCTCCCCGTATGGTGTGTCATCAATCACATTCGCCAACAGAGCAATTTTGCGGGTTGTAGAGATTACTCCCCTCCGGCCGCTGTGGTAACCCTGGGATACAGCCTTGAGAGATATAATTCTAGAATGTGCACCTGTCTGGCTGCTGTGCTGTTTTGTCGGTTTCCCATCCCACTTGCCTATGGCAACTCGAGAGCAGGCCAGGGATGCTTTGCAAGTTGATATTTCAATTAAATTATTCAATTTATTTGAATTTTGCAAGTGATAGACATTTTTGAAATTTCTCTGAGAAGAACAGTCCCATTGACACCACTAGGAGCTTCTTGCCAAAAAAAAAATAACAGAGAGAGATAGCAAGCTTGTTATGTCAGGATCAAAGGAATCCTATCAAAATCACCAGAACTGATTCTGCCTTTTTCTCCACATTATGACTTGGAGGAAAAAAAATGAGGAAAATTATTCTTATAGTTTAGGAGCCAGGTAAGGAAAATGGTTACAATAGCAAGAAACCTCCACACCATCTTCTTCTCAAATAGAAAGTGTGAAGGTTTCTTACTATTGTAACTGTTTCAATCTCCTTAGAATAAACTTTTTGCAAAACCAAAGCATTTATTTTATCCGGTTACCTATTTATAAAGCTAATATATCACTCATATCAATTCAAAACAATCCATAAAATGTAATTAAAATCATACCAGTCAGGTGTGAACTAAATCATATCCCTGATGAATATACAGTAAAGGTGACAAATAGATTTAAGGAATTAGATCTGATAGACAGAGTGCCTGAAGAACTATGGACGGATGTTCGCAACATTTTATAACAAATAACAACTAAAAACATCCCAAAGAAAAAGAAAGGCAAGAAAGCAAAATGGCTAAATAAGTTAAATGAATAAATAAGTTGCTGACTCCACAGTACCAAGGTGATCATTTTGAAAGCAGGCAGAACCCCAAACAGGCAAGATTCATCATGGGACAGTGTTGGCAGTGCCCAGTGTTGAGGCTGACACTTGTGGAAGAATTTAAAAAGAAACTTTGCAAATTCAGGTTTTCCAAAATCATCAGGTTCCCCAAGAGCCTTTTCTCTAAAGCAAATTGGGATGAGCAATAATGATTTGCCTTTCTCAAGGTGAGGAATAGGGGAAAGGAAATCATTCCTAGAAAAGACATTGGAGGTATGTGGTTGGAGAAGATGACACAGAAACATATCAGTTTAAAACCTGAACTATTCCTCTTGGGGATTCTAGCAGAAGTTTATAGTAAAGAAAATGTATACTTGATTATTCATGTAATAATTGCAGCTAGAATTGTATTTGCACAAAATTGGAAAAGTGAAGAGATCCCTACGGATGAAAATATGATTAAGAAAATATTAGAATGTGCAGAAATGAATAGAATAGAATAGAATAGAATAGAATAGAATAGAATAGAATAGAATAGAATAGAATAGAATAGAATAGAATTCTTTATTGGCCAAGTGTGATTGGACACACAAGGACTTTGCCTTGCTGCATATGCTCTCATAAAAGAAAAAATACATAGATACATAGATTAACACTTGCAATTAAAGGAAAGGAAGAATCTGATTATTATAATATTCTATCAATGGTTAGAGAATAAATATAAAAGCAATGTATTATAAAGGCAAATAAGTTAAGAAGGGAAATGTTATAAGACTAGGTATGTTAAATATTAGTAGTAATATAAGAATAAATACAAATAATGGATATGGTGGTAAATTTTAATTGTCATGACACAAAAACGTGTACTCAGACAACATGCTGTTTACTGAAAGAGGGAATGTTTGTATTAAAATAAAATAAAGAAAAAACATTGGAGCAAGTAAAATCAATCACCAGAATCCTTGGATGAGTTGACAATTACCTTTTCAGTTGATGGGTTGGAGGCTCGGAGAATGAAAATGGGTACAACGGAACTACGAGTGCAGACATTATTCCCGTAATCCAGTAGTCTCCTGGCTTGTAGTAATGGAACCACTCATTTTCTTCTACTATCACCTTAAATGGACATTTCATCAGCGTACTGACACAGGGAATTTGAGACAGAAACTGAAGCAGAAAAAGCTGTATATGCAGCAGCAGCAACATTTGACATACAGTATACTGCAGGAGATCCTTCCTAGAGTTCTTTCTTCAGCACAGAGCTAAATCTCAAAGATCACAAAAAGACCACAACTATAGTGAAGAAGGTCCAGTTTGCCCCCAGATTTGGAAGAGCTATCTGCAATTTCAGACTGCTACAATATTTGCCCAGCTTTACCCCAAACTCTGATCTCATCACAGGAGGCTGTTACAAATCAGATTATCACATGCTGTCTATGCCATTTGTTGTCACATAGATTAACAACTAATTGTGGTGGTGGAAATCCCATGAACCTTGTTCAAAGGAGAATAAATAATCATGATTTTGATAATTAGAAGGGGAATTGGAAACGAGCCTTGGCCATAAAAGTGTGCCGTTGGAGAAAAGAGTTTTCTTTTATTCAGGAGAATAATCCTAATTTGAGAGTCGAGAAAGGAACAATTCAGGGAAGTTTGATTGTTTTTTAGTCTCCAAACTTATTCTAGAGATTGTAAAGTTTTAAATGTGGAAAAACAGTTCAACACTCTTGAACTAGGCAGTGGGCCATTATAATTCCTTCTTATTTTGTCTGGTGTGGATGAGGCCATCTTCTTCAGTGAAGGTTAGATACTCCAGAATGAGTTAATCATGAGTTGACTCTATAAACTGCTTAGAGAGGGCTGTAAAGCACTATGAAGCAGTATATAAGTCTAAGTGCTATTGCTATTGGAGCCCCCTGTTAAATGTCTTGTATCTTTCAAAATGTAGAAGAGACTATCAGTCTTAATGTTTACAAAGAAGATCAAGTCAAAATTCCCTGGGGCATTAATCTAAAACAATGGCCTATTATTGACTTCTTCATGATAGCAATAGCAATAGCAGACTTATATAACACTTCACAGTGCCTTGTATATATAAAGCACTGTATGCTACTGTATGTACAGTATATGGAAATGGAAATGGAAATGGATATGGACATGGATAAAAAACAGGAACCAATTTTAATTCTCATAAGCACATCTTATGAGATGTGCTTATGATGTCAGAACATGTCTACATGATCCCCCCCATCACTGAGAGCTGTACATATTTTTCTTTTGACTGAAGACTGTTAAAAATAATAATTTGTCTCATTAATTTATTCAAAGCGATGGAGAAAAAAAATTAAAATTGCTCCAAAGTTCATGTTGAAATTTGATCTATTCTGAATATATAGACTGTTATCTGTCTCTCTGTTTTTCTCTTTCTCAATATCTCCTATCTATCTATCTATCTATCTATCTATCTATCTATCTATCTATCTATCTATCTATCTATCTATCTCATTTATCTATCTTTGAGTAATCTTACATTATCCAGCCAGAAGAGATCAATCAAATATATATTTTAAATTAACTAGTTTTTTTAAAAAATTCAGAACATCACCCCAGAAAATAAAATATAACAGCCGCACAACCAATTTATATAGTAACAAAAACATACATCACCATTAGCCATAGTCTTTAATTTAATCATAAAAACCATATCACAACATCTCTGATTACAGTTTATCTGGCCTGGTTTCAGAAATTTTATTAATTTCATAATATGAATTCAGATTAGGACAATTGAAGGATATGATTATTTCAGATAATTTGAGTTATTTTAGCAACTTTACTATTCAATTATTATAATTATTATTTTTTTTGGAAATTTTTTTTATTTTTAAACAAAACTTAAAACATAAAACAATTATCATCCATTACAATTACAGAAAGTGTATTGATCGGTTACAAATCTTTTGTGCTTAATCCTCTATCCATCATTTTCTTATTTAACAGTTTATTACTTTATTATTCTCATTTACCAATTATTTAACAGTAAATTGTCCTCTATAAGGGGGGAAAAAAACCCTTTATATGTTTTATTATCTTATCCATATCATATTTCATATTTCATTTCCATTCTTTCTTGTCTAACCATTGATAAAATAAATCCCATATCAAATAATATTGTTTGTCTTCTTGTTCCCTAATTCCAGTTTCTAGCAAATACAATTCTAGCCGCCATTAAAACATTCACAATTAAATATCTCATTTCTCTATTGTATATTTCTGGTAAAATCCCCAATAAAAATATCTCTGGTTTAAAGTCAATATGTTTCTTTGTCATTTTTTCCAACCATTTGTGGATTTTAGTCCAATATCTTTTAGCTTCTGCACATGTCCACCACATATGGTAATATGAGCCCGGAGTCTGATGACACTTCTCCGATTTATTCTTGTACATTCTGGCTATTCTCGCCAGAGGTAAATGCCACCTGTAAAACATCTTATACAGATTTTCCTTATATTTATCCAGCCATGCGGATCTGGATGGGGAGGAACAGGCTCAGGCTCAACCCATCCAAGACCGAGTGGCTGTGGTTTCTGACATCCCGATATAGTCAGTTGACACCATCGCTGACTATTGGGGGCGAATCGCTGGCCCCCACGGAGAGGGCTCTCAACTTGAGTGTCCTCCTGGACTCACGGCTGTCTTTAGAAGAGCACTTTACGGCCGTGAAGTGGTTCGCCTGATTCGCCAGTTGCGTCCCTTTCTGGATTGGGACTCCCTACACACAGTCACTCATGCCCTCATCACCTCCCGCCTGGACTATTGTAATGCTCTCTACATGGGGCTCCCCTTGAGGAGCACCCAGAGGCTCCAACTGGCGCAGAGTGCGGCCGCGCGGGTGGTTATGGGAGCAACATGGCGCTCCCATGTAACACCTCTCCTGCGTGAGCTGCACTGGCTCCCAGTGGTCTTCCGTGTGCGCTTCAAGGTTTTGGTTACCACCTTCAAAGCGCTCCATGGCTTAGGACCTGGTTATTTATGGGACCGCCTACTACCACAAATAGCCTCCCACCGGCCGGTACGCTCTCATAGAGAGGGGATTCTCCAGGTGCCGTCAGCCAAGCAGTGTCGACTGGCGGCCCTCAGGGGGAGGGCCTTCTCTGTGGGGGCACCTACTATCTGGAATGAGCTCCCCCCCAGAGATAAGGAGGATCCCGGATCTACGCACCTTCCGCCGTACTCTTAAGACCCTCTTATTCCAACAAGCTGGCCTGGCCTAATTTTTTCTCCCCTTTTTAAATTTTAAATTGTAATTTTTAATTTGTTTTAAATTTATTGGGATTTTAATTGTGGTGGGCTAAATTTTTTAATTTCGTTTTAAATTGTTTTTAACTTTTGTATTTCTGTATTTTATCCTATGCCTGTTTGCTGCCCTGAGTCCTTCGGGAATAGGGCGGTATACAAATTTAATAAAATCTAAATCTAAATATGCTGTTGACATTGTCATTTTATAATTCTGCAACCATAATTTTTCCCATTTCTCTAAGTCAATCCCATGACCCACATTTTCCCCCCATGCAATCATTGTTTCTTTAACTTGTTCTTCTGCCAATTTTACTTCTAATAAATGACTGTACAATTTTTTAATTACATGGTCATAAAAACCTGTTAAGATTTTATCTAAGTTTGTCAAGTTATTATAAAAACCCTCCTTTTTAGAATCTTCATCATATCTAGACTGTATTTGCATATATGAAAAACAATCCATTTCAAACTCTTGTTCTTCTAGTTCTTGCTTCGACTTAAGTTCACCCCTTTCATTTAATAATTCACCATATCTAACAATGTGTTCCTTTCTAAATGTTATTGTGTATGAGACTGCTTCAATAGGTGATAACCAGACTGGAATTTTTAAATAGTAACATTGTTTAATCTTCTCCCAGTTTAATAACAAAGACTCTCGTATCATATGTCTTCTGAAATAACCCTGTACTTTTGTACTTTTATACCACATAAAAGCCTGCCAACCCAACAATAAATCATGTCCTTCTAAAGTCAACAATCTAATATTCCTTAGCGTTAAGCTATTCTTTATTCCACACCAAGTTACAAGCTTGAAAATATAATTCCCAATCCGGCAAACCAAAACCTCCTCTTGATCTAACATCTTGCATCAATTTTAGTTTTATCCTTGCCTTTTTGCCCTGCCATATATATTTTAACACCATTTTATTTAAATCTTCAAAATATTTTTTCCCCAACTTAATTGGAATTGTCTGAAATAAGTATAAAAGTCTGGGCAGTATATTCATTTTAATAGTTGATATTCTCCCTATCAATAATAGCTGCAAATTCTCCCATTTTGTTAGATCTGTCGCTATCTGTTCTTCAATTATTATAATTATTATAATTCAAAATTCTCATGGAATGAAGAAAGATAAGTGACAACACAGAAAACATTACTTCAAAGCATGTGATTTTATGCTGCATGTAAACTGTACAAAAATAAACACCAGCAAAAGGAGACTTAATGATTTTTTATCATGAGATGTTCTTTGGTGTTCATGTCAGGTCTCAGGATAATAATGTAGCATTTGGGGATAAAGATGCAGCCCAGTAAACCCAGGCCAGAAGCCAGGATGGAGAAGATCTGCACGGCGACCATGTATTTCCCCTTGGTGCTCAGATAAGTGGGAACAAAGGAGATCCAAACGCTACAAAAAACCAACATGCTGAACGTGATCAGTTTGGCTTCATTAAAAGCCCCTGGCAGATTTCGAGCCAGAAATGCCACCAAGAAACAGATGGCAGCCAAAAAACCCATGTAGCCAAGAGCAGAGTAGAACATGGTGACAGAGCCTTCATTGCACTGCAGCAGGATGTGTTCTGGTTGGGAATGAAAGTCAGAATCTGGGAATGGGGGAAAGACTCCCAGCCACATCATACAGAGGCCTACTTGAACACCAGAGCAGGATAAAACAATAGAGTTGGCCAGACTCTTCCCCAGCCATTTCCTCATGCTGCTGCCTGGCTTTGTGGCCAGAAAGGCCACCACCACCATGACAGTCTTGGCCAGCAAGGAAGACACAGCAACTGAGAAAACAATACTGAAAATGGTTTGTCGAAGGAGACAGGTCATTTTCACGGGGCGACCGATGAATAGAAGGGAAGTCAAGAAAGAAAGCAGGAGTGAAACCAGGAGGATGTAGGTGAGTTCACAGTTGTTGGCTTTGACTATGGGAGTGTCTCGGTATTTCATGAAGATTCCCAGAATAAAGGCGGTGGTTAGGGACAAAGCGATGGCAAAGAAAGCCAGGATGAGTCCCAACAATTCTTGATAGGATAAGAAGCTTATATTTTTGGGGACACACTGATCTCGCTTCTTATTGGAATACTGGTCATCTGGACACTTTTCACAATGGGCTGCATCTGAGAAAAAAAATGGTTATCATGAATCTGTTTCTGCAGCTGTAGGAGCATGAAAACCACATCAGAAATCAATTACTTCATTTTCAAAGAATAATATAATATTTCTGCCCAGGGATATCCATGCGATACTACATTAGTTAACACTCTTTTTAAAGAATGAATGAAGATGAATGTGATTATCAGTTCTCAAATCTTCTTTCCTAAAACAAAGCAAGAAAGTAGCAACTCAGTAGAAATCAGCAAACTTTTATTATTTATTTTAATGCTCACATCATCATCCAAATTTGCCGAGAGTGTCCAATCTTTGAAGTTTGTGGATGCCTTCAAGAAATATAATGTTTTTCTTACTTCTTGATCAAATACTCCCCCAAAAAACAAGATAGAATATTGATTGTACCTTGATTTTTTTGGAGCCACCTACTGTACCTTCTTGCACAGAGAATGTTCCTTCCATACACAGAGAACAGTCATAGCAGCAAACTGGGGCTCCCTCTCTCACAAGCTTGGCATAACCTGGGGAGCAGCTTTCTGTACATCTTGAATGAGGCACCATCTAAACATAAACAGAAAGATTAGTCAAGGTGATATATGAATTAGAAGGGTTTACTGAAATCAACTTGTTTCCAGAAGCTCAGCAGCACATTGAGCAAAGTCAGTCAAGAAGTAGTGGCATGAACTTTAATGACTCTACTTGCAAGGGGCAAATGAAAGGTCATTCTTTTTCTCTATCAGTCTCCGTTGTAGATTCCAAAACAGACTTGTTGCCTCATTCTTTTTTCCAAAGAACAGTAGTTCCATTGCAACAGGTGTTTCTTCTTAGGGCATGTATGAGAATGCTTACCTTATTTTTTGGACTATAAGACACACCAAGATTTTGAGGGGAAAACAAGAAAAAAAAAGGTTTTGCCTTCCCCAGCTCCCTAGGAGCATTCTGCAGGCCTCCCAAATCTCTGCACATCCCGTTTTTGCAAAAAACAGGTCTATTTTTCCCAAAAAAGGGATGCACAGAGGGTTTGGGAGGCCTGCAGATTGCTTCTGGGGGCTGGGGAGGGCAAAAATGGAATGATTGGGAGGGGTCTTATACTCTGAAAAATACGGTATATATACACTGCTCAAAAAAATAAAGGGAACACAAGCAGAAGACCTCCGAAATCTGAACGAATGAAATAGCCTTATTAAATACTTTGTTCGTTACCTACAGTAGTTTTGTGTTCCCTTTAGTTGTTTGAGCAGTATATAAACTACTGTAGGTAACGAACAAAGTATTTAATAAGGCTATTTCATTCATTCAGATCTCGGAGGTCTTCTGCTTGTGTTCCCTTTATTTTTTTGAGCAGTATATTTTTCTCCATCTTTGCTTTCTCAGGAACCCTCCAACATCTAGATTTGTCTAGAGTCCCTATTTTTCTCTCCTACAACTGATCGTTGTATCATCATATGTAAATCACGTTTTTAGCTGCCCATATTTCCTTCACCACATTCTTAGTGATATCTTTCTCTTATGCAATTCAGTGCATAAGAGAAACCTTCATGTTCTGGATTTTTCTCCCAAAGGTGCTTTTTCAAAAGACAAGTGATCTTTGTTTTCCCTTAAAGACATTCCACTTCTCATTCCAGAAGCTTCTTCAGTACTGACTGAATGGTGAAGTATGGAAGGATTTATATTCCTTGCAGTCATCTGGTTGTTAGCAGTCTTTCTGAAAGTTGTTGAGGCCACTTGAAATTTATCTGCGCCCTCAGGGTCACCTGAATAGTGCAAATGGGTGTGGAACCTTCCTGCAATTCCTGAATCTATATCTATATCCTGTTTACAACACAGTCTTTTCAGCGGTTCCAAATCTTTCCATCCTCCACCATTCAGTCAGAATTGAAGAAGCTTCTTGGATGAGAAGTGAAACATCTTCAAGGGAAAACAAAGCCCAGGTGCCTTTTGAAAAAGCACCTTTGATACAACCTGGATGACTGAGAATCTCCATAGACATTCTGGATTTTCTCTTACTGAAAACAAAATAATTTGATGTACTATAAATTATGGCAACATATTCCAGTTTAATAATGTAGATTGCAAATCCTGCAATACAATGCAGCAGGTTCCAGTGTGTGATAGATTATTCTAAAACCTCTAAAGTAAAATGATATCTAATGAATTAATGTGGCTTTAAATTCTCTTATTTGGAAGTTATCTCAAGTGGCTTCAATAAGAATTACTTCTGAACAGAAAAATTTCCACATATGGAGATAAATAGAAGAGCAAAATACAAGCAGCCTCAACTACTTTGTTAAATAAAGTTGGCCATTGGATGGCACTTTGATTGACAGATATCTTGACTTCCGAGGAGGCTTGTCTTTCTACAGTCCCAATTTTCACCCCCGCATCTGATTTGTTCAAAGCTGATGTCCAGTGCATGATATCAAAGTCACCAACAGGAACTCCATTTTCATCAAAAGAAATTCCATCACGGGAAATATTGTGATGTTGGAGGTTTCTCAGGAACTTATGAAGCTGCAGGAAAAAAGGAAAAAAACATTCCAATTTGAGCCTTTATTCAATGTTATTCCAGATTGGAGGTACTCTGAATAATTCTACCTCTTCAAATCACCACTAAAGTCTGAAACAGGTTAATTCAGCATTTCATGGGAAGCCTCTTCCAGTCATTCTCCAGGAATTTACAGCTCTTTTTCAAATATTTATTGAAGAGAAAAGAGAAGAGAAGAGAAGAGAAGAGAAGAGAAGAGAAGAGAAGAGAAGAGAAGAGAAGAGAAGAGAAGAGAAGAGAAGAGAAGAGAAGAGAAGAGAAGAGCGTAGTTGAAAGTGACCTTGGAGATCTTCTAGTCCATCCCCCTGCTTAGGCAGGAAACCCTACACCACTTCAAACAAATGGCTATCAACATTTTCTTAAAAACATCCAGTGTTGGACCATTCACAACTTCTGGAGGAAGATGTTCCACTGATTAATTGTTCTGTCAGGAAATTTCTCCTTAGTTCTAGGTTGCATCTCTCCTTGATTAGTTTCCACCCATTGCTTCTTGTCCCGCCTTCAGGTGCTTTGGAGAATAGCTTTACTCCCTTTTCTTTGTGGCAGCCCCTGAGATACTGGAACACTGCTATCATGTCTCTCCTAGTCCTACTTTTCATTAAACTAGATATACCCAGTTCCTGCAACGGTTCTTCATATGTTTTAGCCTCCAGTCCCCTAATCATCTTTGTTGCTCTTCTCTGCACTCTTTCTAGAGTCTCAACATCTTTTTTAAATTGTGGCAACCAAAACTGGATGCAGTATTCCAAGTATGGCCTTACCAAGGAATTATAAAGTGTTATTAACACTTCCCATGATCTTGATTCTATCCCTCTGTTTATGCAGCCCACAAATGTGTTGGCTTTTTTGGCAGCTGCTGCACAATGCTGGCTCATATTGAAATGGTTGTCCACTAGGACTCCAAGATCCCTCTCACAGTTACTACTATTGAGCAAGTTACCACATATACTGTACTTGTGCACTTTGTTTTTCTTGCCTAAATGTAGAACCTTACTTTTTTCTCCATTGAATTTGATTTTGTTAGATAGCGCCCAATCTTCAAGTCTGTCAGAATCCTTCTGTATCTTAAGCCTATCTTCCTAATTGTTAGCTATTCCTGCCAGCTTGGTGTCATCTGCAAATTTCACATTTTTGAAAACATGGAATAGATAACACCACCATCAGGTGGCCTTGTAACTGGATAACAAATTATATTCAACATGTAGTCCTCTTGGGAACCTCATCCACATGGAGGAAAGTAAGAAATGGGGAACCCCAAGTTTCCATTTTAGGCCCAGCACTCTTCAATATCTTCAAAAAAGATCTAGGTGAGGGAATTGAAGGGGAACTCATCAAATTTGCAGATGACACTAATCTGGCAGGAATAGCCAACACTCCAGAAGACAAGCTCAAGATCCAAAAAGATCTTGACAAATTGAACATGGTCCCCTACCTAACGAAATGAAATTCAACTTAGATAAAAGTAAGGTTTTATACTTAGGCAAGAAAAACCAACAGTATAGGTAAAGACTAAATGAAATTTGGCTTAATGCCAGTAACTGTGAGAAGGATCTTGGAGTCCTAGTGGACAATCACTTAAATATGAGCCAACAATGTGTGGCAGCAGGCAAAAATGCCAATGCAATCATAGGCTGCATTAATAAAGAGATAGAATCAAGATCACATGAAGTTCTAATATTGCTTTACAAAGCCTTAGTAAGACCACATTTAGAATACTGCCTCCAGTTTTGGTCAACACAATATAAAAAGACTGTAAAGATGAGCAACAAAAATGATTAGGGAGCTGAAGGCTAAAACATACCAAGAACAATTACAGCAGGGGTAAAATCCTACTGTTTCGGACCAGTTTGGGTGAACCGGTAGGAATGATTGGAATCAGTTCGCCAAACCATAGCAATCATCCCTAGTGTGGCACATATGCCCACTCGCCTCTTCCAGCTCTCTTGCCTCTTCTGGCTCACTCACTGCTTCTGGCTGCTTAGCCCACCCACTCACTCCCACCCTATATAAGTTCCCTTTGCCATGCAGCCCAGCTACTTGCCTCACCAGTCGCTTCACCTGCTCAGCTCACCAAAGGTAAGCAATGCATTCTGCCTGCTCGTCCTTCGACTTGCGTGTGGTGCTGGGGCCCGGGCCCAGGGACATGTGATTCCCTGAGTCCTTGTGGCTGCCACCCGCTCACTGCCCACCTCCACCGGGTCAGGAAATTCACGATTCCCTGTCTCCAGGCTTGCCATAGAGCCACCTCCTGCTTGCCACCCACCTCGACCGGGTCAGGGAATGCATCATTTCCTGGCTCCGGCCTTGTCCTGGAGCTGCCGCCCACTTGCCGCCCACTGCCGGCTCTCCCTTTGCCACGTTATGCGTCCTTAACTTCTTCTCATGGCTGGCTGCCAGGGAAGGCAAGCCAGGGCTGAGCCATCGCTGCTGGGCTGAATGCCAGTCCGTACCTCGGCCTCCTTGTTGCGAGATGCCTGCAGCCGCAGCCACTTTTTTTTTTGTGCGCCTGGAGGTGCTTCTTGTGCCAAAAGATGCAGCGGCTGCAGGCTTCTTGTAGCGAAAGTTAACAGAGCCGCTCTCTTTCTTAAACATGTCGCTGCCATCGCCACTCTGTTCCATGTGCTGGGTGCAGATGCACACACCATTTACTTATTCATTCATCATTGATCAGTGGCAGCAGGGAACAGTGTGCGCATGTGCATGGAACAGGGTGGCAATGGCAGCAGCACTTTTAAGAAGGGGAGCAGCTTCCTGTAACTTTCGCTACAACAAGCCTTCAGCTGCTGCATCTTTGTCTGAAATGGTGCAGGGTCTCCTGCTTGATTTGTGGGTTGGACTAGAAAAACCTCTGAGGTCCTTTCAAACTCTTATTATTCTATGTTTTATGTTCTATGTTTTGCTGCTTCACCATCACAGCCCATCAGAGGCAAGACCATTTGCAGATATGGGAAAACATGTAATGGGAAAAGATGGAGAATACAATTTCGCCATCAGACCTGATGAAGATGAAGTTATGGTGTTAGCTAGCAAAATTCAATCTTAATCCAGAAAAAAAAATCCAGCTGAACTCCTTAGCTTGGAGACCACTTTGTGATCACAATAAAGGGTTGAGGATTGCTGGAATATTCTGATGCTTGTTTGATTTGGAAAATTGTCACTATAGAGTTAATTCTGTCACAAAACCATCCCAATCTAGCACAGGTTGTTTAACTTTGCACAATGTTTCTCTATCATCTCTCTCTAACTGACCATCAGGGTTCCAAGTAATAGACCCATAGCAAACAGGACTCTGAGGCAAGCAGGTTCCTCAAATATCAGTTTTATTGGACATATCATATAGGCATAGGCTGGTGAAAACTGACTCTAAATGTTTCCACAGATTTCACCTAATTAAAAGTAAAAGTTTTCCTCCCCTTTCCAAACAATCAGTCACATGGTCCAATCAAGGTGTCATCCGGTTGCCTGGTGACTTCACTCATCCACCTTCCTTGGTGGATGAAAATGTCCTTGGTTTCCAGGAAAAAGTATTTTGTTTTGGCTACAAAACTCCAGCTATCTCTATTCCTCCCCTCCCTCTCTATCCCTCAGCTCCAATGTGGCAACAATGAAAAATCAAAATGGCCTCAGTCAGGTCAGCTTCAGGATTGACACCCACTCTCAAATACCACAAACTGGGCAGCTGCTCTTTGGAATATCTCACCCCTTTCTACATCTAATTTAATATTGAGGAATTGGACGGGGAGAATCAATGGAATCTCAAAGGAGGAGACTTACCTGCCATGGTGGTACAATCTGGGGTGGTTGATGGTCTCCAACTTGCATTCTCCTCTTCCTCCGTTGGGAGGAGGAGGCAGCACTGAGGACCCAGGCCACAATTTGAATTATTTGGGAAATACTGGAGGAATCCTGAGACAGGATTCTTGCAATCACATCAGGGGGTGGGAATTCCCAATTCTCTTTTTCTCTGCATTTTTTCCAGACTTTCTTAGATAACACAGGACTTGTATAAGAACATTGGAACGCTTCCTTTCCATACAATGAGAACATAGAATCAGAAGATTTAATGTCATCATACTGAGTCCTTCTCTTTGTCTGGACGAGGAAGGAAAACAAAGCATATTTATTTTGGAGATCAACCAAGAGGTCAAAAGTACCTACACTTGAAGCTGTCAAAGTTGTTGCAATCCACACCCTTTCCACAATGGATGTATCAATCATTTGTATTATTACTCCTAACATTCCTGAGGCCTGAAAATCCAGTTGGAATACTATAATTTTTATTTGACTCTTGATAAGAGAAAAGAACTTTTCCCTTTTTTCTTGCATGAGGGTTTCTCTAGCACTTGGCTGCATTTTTGCTTCTGGGACGGTTCCTGAGAGGACAATGCAAATCCCATTTTTTAGAGCAAGAACTTCCAAGCGTCTTTTGAATTTTTCTCCTTTTTCATTGTCCTGAGAAAGGAGGCCGATCCACGTCCATTGGAACTGCAGGAGTAGCTGGATGATTGCTGAGTAAGGAGGTTCTTGTTTTGGGGTCATCCGATATGAAAAAGGAAAATGATGATTTTTCTCAGCCATCTGGTTGATGACACTATAGTTGATCTAAGATAAAAGAGAAGGTATTGGTAGTGTAGGAAGTTAGCAACCACCCCCTCCTAGGAAAATGAGATATTTTAGGAAATATTAAAAGGGAAGAATATTTCCCCTAAAAGGGAGGCAGAAACTCAGCCCCCCCACACCTTTGTCAATGAGCCATTAAGCCCTGAGCCAATCTATTCTACACTCTCACTTATGACTGTCTGACTGTAAGCTTGTTGCTGGTATCCTTAAGATTTATATTGACTGTTTCCCTATGACTATCATTAAGTGTTGTACCTTATGATTCTTGAGGAATGTATCTTTTCTTTTATGTAGTCAGAGAGTGTATGCACCAAGACAAATTCCTTGTGTGCCCAATCACATTTGGCCAATGAAGAATTCTATTCTATTCTATTCTATTCTATTCTATTCTATTCTATTCTATTCTATTCTATTCTATTCTATTCTATTCTATTCTATTCTATTCTATTCTATTCTATTCTATTCTATTCTATTCTATTCTAGCACCATCCAGCAAGGCTCAACCAAACCTGGACTCAAAACACAGCCTACAGAGTTGTCTCTGCATGGCCCCATGGGAGTCTGACAACCAATCAGAACACAAGCTCAAATTCAAAAGCCCAGAGAGGGCATAAAACTCAGGCACTCTCAGCATCTCTTCCCTTTTTTTCTTCACCCAACATCATCAAGACATGTGATCCTGTTCACCATTAAAGCCATCTCTCCCAGCAACTTCCATGAATCCAGTGTCTTTCCCCCAACTTGGAACTGAAGAAGGAAGAAGTTGTAAAAAAAAGTGCTTTTAAAAGGAAAAAAAAAAGCCTCTGATGATTGTGCGGCTCAGCTGGGCATGGTGGTGGTGGTGGGAGCAGGGATTTTCGGGCGATCCAGTCTGAACCGGGAAGCATTTCACCCCTGTGTCTGACCCATCGTGACCCCATGGACAATGTTTCTTCAGGCCTTCCTGTCTTCTACCATCCTCTGGAGTCCATTTAAGCTCACACCTACTGCTTCACTGATTTGATCCAACCACCTCGTTCTCTGTCGTCTCCTTCTTCTTCCTTACCCAGCATTAGGCTCTCCTCCAGTGAGTCCTTCCTTCTCATTAGGTGGCCAAAGTATTTGAGTTTCATCTTCAGGATCTGGCCTTCTAAAGAGCAATCAGGGTTTATCTCCTCTAGGAAAGTGGTCACCAACTGATGGTCCATGGAGAAAATTTAGGTGGTCCTCAGAAAAATTATTTGCATTTTTTATATTGCACTAAATCAGGGGTCCTCAAACTACGGCCCCTGGATTGGATACGTGCAATGAAAGTTTGTGTTGCTGCAGAATCTCCCCCTTTGGGGTCTTCTTGTGTGGGTCAGAGGGGGGAAGAAATTCTGATTTGAAAATATAGGACAGGATAGGATGGGGGCAAGTAGGTGGGCAGGGACAACTGATCGCTGGAACTACCAGTTCCGGCAGCCCATCACTTTATGTATACACATATACTTTGTGAATTAACAATTCTTTCAACTCTTCTAATCTCTCTGACTTTCTGACTTTCAATTTATTTGGAGAAATATATACAAGTGCTGCCTGCTAGGCAAATCTGAACAATTTACAACATGGAATTAATTTCATTTGGCTTTATACCTGTGGAATTTTATAGATGCTCAAGACATTGGAAATATGATCAAAGAGTTCAGAATCCATCTCTTCAAGAATCGCCAGCAGGTTCTTTTGTCTTCCACATCTGTAGTTTGGGATGTTCTCCTGTCCTGTAGACAGCACATCCAGCATGGCCTCAAATGTCATTCTTGCACTGAAAAAGGTCTCATAGATGTTGTAGCCCAGGGTGATGTTGGGTAAGAGCCTTGATTTCTGGTTGACTTCATGAACAGCCAACAAGAAGGGCAGAATTTGGTAGAAGGTGTTGTCACTGCAACGTAAGAAATTTCATCATCTTTTTTTGCTCTATATCAATGATTTATATGATCAACTTAAAAGCAATTGCATTCTTTTTGCCGATGACATAAAATTATTCAATTCTACAGATAATTCTCTTGTTTTGCAAAGTGATCTCAACTATGTTTCTGAATGGTCATCTATTTAGCAACTTCAAATTTCAATTCATAAATGCTCAGTCTTATATATTAGTAAACATAATCAGAATGTCAAGTAGAAGAAAAGTGGCATTGATCTAGCACAGTGGTAAACAACTGGTGGTGGCTTCTTAGCTCCAACAACTGCTTCCTTTTGGGGCCCTAAGGAGCCCAGGCAGGTAGGCAAGGAGTGGCAAGTAGAGGCTGGTAAGGCGCCCCTTGACGTGAATGACATCAAGTTGGCCACACCCACCTAGCCGGTCATTAGGCAGATCATATTAGCGGTCCGCGGGATTTAAAATTATGAATTTAGTGGTCCCTGAGGTCCAAAAGCTTGGGGATCCCTGATCTAGCAGATGACCCTCACCTTGTTAAGGACATAGGTATACTTATCTCTGACAATTTATGCTCCAATGCTCACTGTAACAGCATTGCTAAAAAAGCATTAAGAGTTAATTTGGTGAAGCTCTTTTTCCTGGAAACATTGTATTGCTCATTAGAGCTTATAAAACTTACGCTAGACCAATCTTAGAGTATTGTTCAACTGTTTGGAATCCCCACCATATATCTGACATCAGTACAATTGAGTGGGTTCAGAAGTACTTCACGAGAAAAGTCTTGCACAATTCTTTATACAATAGGATTCCCTATGCTATTAGGCTCAAAATTCTCGGTTTGGATAATTTAGTACTGCGTCCCTTGTGGCCAGGCCTAGGTATTGCATCCAAAATTAAACATAGTAATATTTTATCTGTAAATGGCTTTTTCTGTTTTAATCACAATAATATGTCTGCAAACAACCGCTTTAAATTCCATACAGTAAAGTTCTAAACTTTACTGTAAAAATATGATTTCTGTAATAAAGTTGTCAAAGTCTGGAATGCCCTACCTGATTCAGTTGTCTCAGCTACAAATTTTCCCAGTTTCAGTCACAAATTGACTTTCATGGAACTTACATCATACTTAAGTGGGCAATAGGGGGAGCATGCATAAGTGCACTAATGTGCCTATCATCCAGGGGTATAATTCAGCAGGTTCTGACAGGTTCTGGAGAACAGGTAGTGGAAATTTTGAGTAGTTTGGAGAACTGGCAAATGCCACCTCTGGCTGGCCCTAGGAGTGGTGTGGGAATGGGGATTTTGCAGTATCCTTCCCCTGCCACACCCACCAAGCCACACCATGCCCACCAAGCCACGCCCACCAAACTGGTAGTAAATTTTTTTGAATTTTTGGCTTCTGGTGGCACCACAGGCATTGGAAGACATTCCTTTGGGATCGTCAGCCTCGTGATCTTGTAAAACTGCCAAGACAGCATAAATCTGCCATCTAGCAGTTTGGAAACGGGAGAAGAGGGGGAGGTGAGCAGCCGGGCGAAGGTAGAGCTCCCCAAAAGCCCCAAGAATAAATCTGGAGCTTGGAGGGTGAGAACTCCCTAGAAGCCTGTCAGAGCTCCGGATCCAGGACTCTTCTGCTTTTAAGCAGAACAATATGCCACGACCACCCCTGCAATCAACAATTAACAATGAATTCAAAAGCAGGCAGAACAAAGACAGGAGTTACAGGAATCTCAAGTACTGAACTTTAACTCTGTATTTATACTTCTTCCTTCTGAGGCTATTTTGTAAAACAAAGAGGAAAGGAAATGGCGCCAGAACTTTAGAAGGGTGTGAAAATGAAAGTTAAATGGAAAGTGTTTGTTAACATTGACAGCCCCGTTTAAAATTAATGGACCTTGGCTTAAAAGAATTAAGACTTCAGGATTGAAGAATACAGTATTGACTTTTAACAAATTATAATATCTACTAAGGATTGGGAATTAAGGATTGGATTTATTGATTTGGCTGTTGTAAAAGTGCAATTTGAAAATTAAAAAATGGCCTCAAAGCAAATAAAAATTGGAGTTACTAAAAGTGCTGGGGCATCACCAGCTCAATCACCAGCTCAATCACCTAAACTGCAATCTTTGTTAGCCCCAGCGGATACACAATTATTGACACTAGAAGCCCTTCAGGAGGCTTTAAAGATGCAAGCCTCTGTTCTAGAAGGAAAAATTACATCTGTTTTTTAGGAAAAAATTAAAGACGTGTCTGATGAGATGGCTGAAATTAAGGAAGTAATCCAAACTCGAAATAAAGAAATAAGAGAAGACATTGTTTTGGCACTTCAGGGTCTGGCAGGTCATGTTGAATCGTTGGAGGAAAGGGTGGAAGAAATTTATCAGTCTAATGTGAATTTGGAAAATAAAATTGGCGAGGTTCAAACTAAGATGGAAAAGGCAGACGCAGAAGTTATAATGATACAATATAGAGCAATGGAGTTTGCCCTGAGAGTAAGAGGTCTGAGAGAAAATAATCAAGAGAACCTGAGAGAGATTTTTGCAGAAGCTTTTGCACAGCTAACTGGAGACTCAAAGGCAGAGTTTAAATGGCAAATAGATAAAATCTATCGTGTTAACTCATGGGTTGCCAGACAGAGACAATTACCAAGAGATATTGTAATTTACTTTATTACAAGGAGGATACAAAATGAAATCTTACAAGCTTCTTACAAAAATAAACTCCAAGTGGCAGGACAGGAGGTTTTAGTATTGAAAGAAATTCCCCCCAAAATGTTGAGAACTAGAAAGGATTATGCATTTCTAGTTGAAGAACTCAGAAAATGCCAGATGCAGTACAGATGGGAGGTTCCAGCTAGATTAGTGATGAATTACTCAGGAGAAATCTATCGTCTTAATACAGTTTGGAAGGCTAGAGATTTTTACATCAATGTAGTAAAGACTGGACGCCCACCATCCCCAGAAGTTAGAAGAAGAAAAGAAGCAGAGGAGGCAAGAAAGGGGGAAAAGGAAGGTATGCAGGCACAAGCCCAAGGAGGGGCTTTGATTATGCAAGAAGATTTATTGCAACTTTCGGGTACTGTTCAAGCTTTGGAATTATCTGAAAAAATAGAAGGACCAAAGGATCAAAGACAAACTCGAGCAGCAGCCAAACATAAAGAACAAGAATTAAAGGCACAGCAAACTCAGATAATAATTCAAGAAACTACAAATACAGAAGCAGTGGGAGGAGCAAGGACGAAGAAGAAAATCCATGAAGATTTTCAGCTGGTGCTCCAAAAGCTTCAGGGGGCCAAGAATGGCAATTAGATTCTTAACGTGGAATGTTAATGGCTTAAATTCACCGCAGAAGAGAAAAAAAATATTTCATTATCTGAAACAGTTTAAAAATGATGTAATTTGTTTGCAAGAAACACATATTAGAACAAGAGACCAAAAATATTTGATAAATGCAAGATTGGGAACACACTTTGTTGCATCTGCTCCAGAGAAGAAAAATGGTATAATAATATATTTAAGGAAAGACTTAATTGCTAAATCAATTGAAGTAGATGCTCAAGGAAGATATATAGCAATTGAACTTTTAATAGAAGGAAAGAAAATACTTTTAATTGGAGTATATGGACCTAATCAACAACAAGAGAAATTTTATAAGCTTCTGCGTACCAAATTAATACAATGGAGTAGTGGATACCCAAAAAGATAAGAAAGGGCTCTTGTCAAACATCCAAACATGTGCTAGACTGCCTAAATCCTTTTTTGATATGATGGATGATATGGAGTTGAGAGTTATTTGGTGAGAACAGAATGTTGAAGAACAAGATTTTACATTTTTCTCTGATAGGCATCAATCCTTTTCTAGAATTGATTTCATATTAATTACTAACGATTTTCTTTCTAGGGTGAAGAAGATGAAGATATGCCCAAGAATTTTAACAGATCATAGCCCAGTTTGGATGGAATTGGAATATGGAAAAGGTTCCAGGAGGTCTTGGCGGTTAAATGAAAATCTATTTAGATATGAGGAAAATGTGAAAGAATGTAAAAAATTAATGAAAGAATTTTTTGTTATGAATATGCATAAGGGTACACCCATGGAAATGGTTTGGGATGCAAGCAAAGCATACATGAGAGGTGTTTTAATATATTTGAACAATACATATAGACATAGACAGGTGAAAAAATGGATGGAATTAGAAGAGGAAATAAAAAAGAAAGAGCAGGCATTAATATTGAATCCAGCAGATAAGAAAATAAAAGAAGCAATTATCTTATTGCGAGGGCAGTTTAAGATGTTGATGTCAGATCAGGTAGCAACTAATTTACAATATGCTAAACACAATACTTTTTGCAATGCGAATAAACCAGGTAGATGGTTAGCATATTTGCTAAGGAAAAAACAAAAGTCTCGTACTATAGAGAAAATAGAATATAAAGGTAAAGAGGTGTATCAACAAAATATGATTATTTATTTATTTATTTATTTATTTATTTATTTATTTATTTAATTTTTCAAATTTCTATACTGCCCTTCTCCTTTCGGACTCAGAGCGGTGAACAGCCAAAATAAAACATTTGTACACAAAAGTTAAAATAGGTTTAAAATAATTAAATAAGGTTTGGCCCATAATTTAAAACATTTCAATTAAAATCAATATCAAAATTTTAAAAACCAAGCATAAAATCAGGACATTTCTAGAATTTTAGAAAGCATTTCTAGAATTTTATACGAGGTTGTATGCTAGTGATAAAATTCAAGGTATAGATATAGATAGATACCTACAGAAGAAGGATATAGATAGATAACTACAAAAGGAGAATATCCCTATACTTACAGATGAGCAAAGGGAAAAATTGAATCAACCGATAACTTCAGA